AATAATAATAATAATAATAATAATATAATAATAATAATAATAAATTCTGTGGGAAATTTTGCCCGGAGAGCAGAGCTACGGTCAAGGGTCTTTTACTTGTTCACCAATGTGTACACAGGACGTTGTTTTTTTCATCCCATCCATTTGTCCACACAGCTGTCCTTGTCAGGCCCTCCAACTTGCACCATGCTGGAAAATCCTGATACCCTTTCTCGGCCAACACCTTGAGCGGGCGAGTGTCTTAATTACTCGGTTAGACACTGTTGCTTCTCTGGTGAGTATGGTGTTCGCTCATTAACCAGGAAGACCATGCGGTATGGTTTGCTTCTGATTTTCTTGTCTGGATTCCCTATATCACAGCTGTGTAGGACAGGGTCAATGAAAGGTGTCTAGTTTTTCAAAAGGGAATAAAAAATGGTTCTGTGTATACTATTTTCAGTAAGTAAAGGATCCCTAACTAAGGACATAATGCTACACAATGTATCATGTATGCCTGTCTTCCCAGGACCAGTTAGTGCAAATAAATAAGAAACTAAATCCAATGTCTATACAGACATCTCATGAAATCCTAATTTCCAATTTTTAATAGTTTTAAATGTATTCTCAATATTAAATATCAATCTGTTTAAAACACAGATCCTATTTCATTTCGTTTTTTATAGTTCAAAATTTTGTTTTACTTGTCTTTACTACACTAGGATCTGGAAGACTTGTTATATTACCGGTGTTTAAGCGAGGGATTAGCCAATGAAATGGTCTGTTACGGCAAGTTCTTGGCGTGCGATGCACAGAACTGTGGGTAAACCACTATAAATGACAACACTGATTGATTAATCAATGTCTGCCGTCATAGGGTCAAAAGCCACTCATACGACCCCGACACTACCTTCCAGTACAACCTGTCAGATCTTCATGTAGTGTAGGCCATTGAAAAGTATAAAAAAAGAAACAAAATATAGATCTGTATTTTAATCAGAATGAATTAAATATATAATCTCAAAAAACATTTTAAATATGAAGATAACAAACTGACCTGCTGCTGGAATGCAATGACGTGGTGCTAGGGGTACTAGGACGAGGTGAACTCCTTAATAACTGACTGTGGATTAAACGACTTGGTCTTGGAGAACCCTAAAAATATTTTCATCTTTAAAATCAATCAAATAACTGACAAGTTTATGTTATTCATAAACAGATATTACAAATTAATTTATTATTTTCAGTTAAAGCAGGTGATAATCTACCAGTTAGGAACATAAAGAATCAAATCGAAACCACCTTATGATACAACGCGCACATTCGGCCATCCAACCCCTCGGTTAGGAATATAAAGAGGCCCATCAAAAGATTTACTTATCAAACTTACAGATGACATTTCTTGTTAATATCATTTTCAAAGACTGATGAATTGTTGTAAAATTTTCAATTCAACATATTTTTGTAAATATGGAACTGAATTGAATCTTGTTTGGACTGATATTACTTTTAGAGATTCAACTTTCACAATATCGTAGTTTGCAAGGAATTCGAAATCAGTCAATTGATGATCAGCATATTCCTGAAGCAATGGCCCGAGAAATCCCTCTCTGGCCATTGCTGGATTGGCTTCTGATACTTGAGCTTTTGACAGCAACATGACAGACCTTCTTTTAATCTGGATTCTTCCCTAAAACTTTGGACAGTGATTTAACGTATTAAAAATGGCGAAAGTATTGTTCATCTCCAAGCAGTATTGTTTACATTGTAGCCATTTTGATAGCCTCGTTTATCACACAATTAGTTTTTCTGCAATTTTCTGCTATGTACTGGTTAATTGGACGCAATAAATTTTGTGAGTCATGACGTAACGTTATGTAAACATATCTGGAGCTCTGTTTAAACCTGAATGATTTTGTTACGCCGTTAGCTATTGGTTTTTAATCGGACTATTGACCAGTCATAATTTGAACAGAAATTTGCCTTTATTACAGCAGTATTTGAGTGGGATTAGGTCTAATCAAACAAAACACTGTGAGGAGTATGATGATCAGTGGCTTTAATATTAAAATGATCGGTGGCTTTAACATTAGAATGATCATCAGCTAAAATGATAATGTAAGGTATGCTAATCCTTTAATCCTTTACTACACTGAACATATACAGACTGATAAATATCATAACTTGGTAATCATCTGTAAAAAAAATTCAAATTAAAGATCAACAAAAAAATCTAAATAAACACTTACAGCATCTGTGATACTTCTCTTCATATTAGCAAACATTTCTACCAGACTTTTATGTAATGGTTGTATTTCAGCAGATGCTAGTACACCATGTAAATTTAGAGCTTCTTGTAAAAGTTCAACCTTTAAAAACAATCATTAAACTTTTACACATCTAGAAAAGATAGATTGCCAGGCAACGAAACATACACCCACTGCAGCTAAATCGTCCGAGCGGTCAACAAGTGTTGTCGCATCTTTTGTAGGTAAGGGGGAGGGGGGGTTCATTTACAAGACAATTTCATACGGATCAGATTCTAATTTTCTCCCTTAACTCTGGAAGCAATATATAAAAATATTTGAAATTTGACAGCCTTTTTTGTTTTACTAATTTAAATAATGCATATAAATTTCATACAGATCAGATGATGAATTTTGTCATTCGAGCGTTCACAATGTTCAGCAAAGTAAAACAAGGGCCATAACCCAAGAAGCAATTGACGGAAATTGCTGAAATTCAAAAGACTTCTTCGTTTTACTAACTCAAATGATGCACATCAATTTCACCCAGATCAGATGACAATTGCTGCCGCTAGACCGTTCACAGGGCTAATCCAGGAAGTTACAAATCGAATAAGAATTGTGAACTAACTGTAGAGCGTCCAGGCAAACGGATGGATGGACAGGGGCGATGACAATATACGTCCACATGAAAATGTGGGTGTATAAGAAAAGACATATCATTTGATTTGTAGTTTGAACAGTTGGGATTTTGTTCATTTCAATTTCATGATTTTATTTTTGTGTTAGGAATTGTTGGTGATTGATTTAAAGCATTGTGTGATACACAAAACATGACTGTAAACGTAATGTCTACAATACCTGTCCTAAAAGTTCACCCCTCAATGCTTCTAAGTTATTAGCTTCTTCTGGATGTTGATCTGAAAATTCGTTGGTGAAGAAAGCCTGAAAATACACAAACATTAAAGGTTCGTTTTGTTCAATTTTTAGCCTCATCATCGCTTTTCATAATATGGTGTTCTGAATTGGGAAAAGATAGGTTGCCAGGCAATGAAATATGCCCACGGTAGAGAAGTTGCCCAAGCAATCCAAGCAAGTCAACATCTTTAAACTGTTAGTATATCACACCCTTGACGTCATGACAAGATTCTATGACATAATCAAGAGCAATAATTATAAGCAATTATCAAAAATTTTCTAATTGAAATCCATCCCAAAAATTAAGACAAAGAACATAATCTAAAGCAGAACAGGCGATGTCTTTCAAGTCAATAAGGGCACTAAGTCTGGTAGCTATTATCAGAAATCAACTCAAGTTTCTTCGTCTCATTTTTAATGTAAATTTCAAATATCAATTTCAAAAGAAACAAATGATAAATATAGACTGTAGAGAGTTCACAAGAATTTGTGGATGACGGACAGACTGACTGACCGATGGAATATAAGTCCAAAACGTCTAAATTTCAATGTGACTGGTGTAAATCTCACCTCCTGATATTTAGGAATTCCACCACTAACAGCAGCACTAACAATACCCTGTAATCTCATTGTTAAATTAGCTAGATGATAGTCTGGATGAATCTTACAACGATCAACCAAGAAGCGTAAATCTTGTGTAACTTGTTTGATACTTTCTATAGCCGTTTCTAGTGGTGAGACATGTACAACACTAACATCTATAACTTCATACCATCGTAAAATACCAGGTAATTTATAACTAGTTTTTAACATCGTTCTCTCTAAACACAATGTCTGAAAAATATATATATATATATCAAATAAGAAGTAGTATTCAGCGCGGAGAGAGAGAAAGAGAGAAAGGGGGGTTTAATGTCCACTTGACACAAACTAGGTCATTTTGGGACTAACATATGGTTCAATTTTATTTCAATAATTCGCAGTTGGAGGAAACTGGAGGACCTGGAGAAACCCATGAGGTTGGACAGACGACCCTACTCTTTGTCTCGAACAAAAGGGGAATCGAAACCACGCCAGTTGACTCAATAACAGACCTTATGATACAACGCACACGCACTAATCTCGGCCATCCAACCCCCCACCATCTCACAAAGGAATATCAGAGATATGATGAAGAGAAAATAATGCAATGTTTGGCATCATCTGCAGACAATATAAACAAGCAAGCGCCACCTATAGGTGTTGGGTAAAATACTTCGATGGACCTCTTTTTAATCCAATTGAATCAAAGGTCGTGGAAATAAACTAAATACATTAAATCTACTATAAAAGGACAGATATATGAATAACAAAGTAAAAATAAAACACCTAGACTTACTTTAAATTCGTTACTTTTGTCCATTTCTCCCTTGTGAAAGGGACGATCGAACTGGAATGTATCTATTTCATTTACGTTATAAAAGTTGGTCACTTCATATGGAATATCGAGACCACGGAACTCACTTCTTTGATCAGCTATTGGCTTTACATTGCATATTTGGATATCTGATTTTAGTTAAAGAAATGAATAATAATAAAATGAACTGACTGCACCAATGAAGATGGGCAGACACCAAGTTCCAACTGTTACAGGATCCCGAACATGCTGCTAATGGTATACACAGGCTAGAAGGAATTTTTCCATGGTTACATGAGAGGGTGTGTGTATGACTTTTTTGTTGTAGAATTTGAAAGACAAGGCATGCACAGAACACAGACCTCCCCTCCGAAACTGTGAACTCAGTTTACAATATCTTTGAACTCAAGATATTCCAGTCAATTACTAATTATAAATAGATAATTGTAATTGTATAAATATATTTAAAGGATACATTGAGCTTCCCCCTGTTTAATACTATCATCTGGTGGACTATTAGAACTGAGTATTGTAGCATTAGGAAATTCTGTTGTTAATTGTTGCATGATAGTCGCTAACTTTAAACATTCATCACCTCTATATACAAACGCTTTATTCTAAAATAAAACAAAAATATTTAAATTATTCTTTATATTTAATACCAAATATTATACAATTATTCCTTTTATCGAGCCACAGTTGTTTAGCAAGTATGAAACTGGTTAACCAAGCAGAGGTTCTGAGTTTGATTCCTAGTGTTAGCCATGAAGGTTTCTCAGAATTATCAAGCTTAAAGTTTCTACTTGCAGGACAGACAGTCTAGAAAGAGAGAGAGAGACAGAGAAATGGGGTTTAACGTCCACTCGACACAAACTAGGTCATTTCGGGGCTGACTTATGGTTTAATTTTATTTCAATAATTCGCTTGCGCGTAGGGGTCTTTAGCAGTGGGAGGAAACTGGAGGACCCGGAGAAAACCCACGAGGTTGGACAGGCGACCCTACTCCTTGTCAAATACAACCAGGGAATCGAAACCACGCCAGTCGACTCAATGACAGACTTTATGATACAGCGCGCGCACGCTAACCATTCAGCCATCCAACCCCCCACAGTCTAGAAATAAAGTTCCCTAATGGAATGAAACCCTAGGCTCCCATGTATACCATTAGCCTTTGTCAGGGCAAAATTCATCTGATGGCTCACTATATGGTGTTTCCCCGATTTCATTATCCCAGTTGTTGCACTAAAGTAAGACAACGAGCGCCCATTTCATTTTCCTATGTAAAATAATGTATGCAAATGGACTTTAGTGTCGGATGGATCCAAAGAAGGCAAAACCTATTTGTAACATACAAATGTGGGATCAAATTCGCAACTTGCATAGATGACAGACCTAATCATCTAAACTTGACAGAACCTGAAACCAAATAAATACAAATACTCACTCTGACAAAAGGAGGGAAACTTTTACCATAATAAGCCACCCTATAATAACATGGATCTTGTCGAACTGCAGCACCTTCCAATATCTGATCAAAAAATGTGGCTTGTTTTTGCTGAAAGAATCAAAGAATAGTTTATTAATTATACAATAGTTAAGAGTTTAATAAAGAGTTGGTCATTCTTGCTATTAATAATTCAAAAATAGATGATAGAAAAGAAAATATTGAAAATTTCAGTCAAATTACTTCATTTTGAGCAAAATTATCACTGTTGGTAGTTTTGACAAGATGTGTACATAGTGGTAACCACGGTTCTGGTATATTCAAGACTTTGCCTCGCTTTCAGATTTTTAAATTAAATTTTGAAATGGCGAACCGTTCTAATCTAGTTAAAATCTTGAGTTTCCGATGCCATTGAGAGTTGATTATGGTCTTGTTTTGTTAAACATGCATTATGCAAGAGCAAAATCTGATTATTGCAAGACTTAATTTAGGCTTCAGATGTTATAGAAATTATAAATTAGATCTTTATTTAAACAACAAGCCCAAAATCAACTCTGTAGACCCACGGATGGCTCGGTTACAGCTCGGATTTAAATAGGATTTCACTAATTGATTAAATCAGATAAGGGGTAACCTGATGAAAATACGTCAGTTAGATCGAGGCTAAATGATAGAGTGTACTTAGCGAGGCCGCTGTAGAGCGTTTCCCCATGCCATTGAAAACTTTACTTGATAATCGAGATATGTAGGTGGAGTTAACGCCTGTCAATCAAACGATCGGCCATGGTGAAGGCACATTTCAATACCATTTCTAGTCAAATATTACAACGATAATAACTATGTTCAGAATAAAGTAATTTGACTGAAATTTTCAATATATTCTTCTTTCATCATCTACTTTTGAACTGTTATAGCAAGAATGGCCAATTCTCTATAAAAATCTCCCATAATGTATCTTTAATAAATGTCTAATTAATAGTTTATTTAACATTTCAGGCCTAAAGAAAGACCTGCAATAAGCAGATTTAGCTCTTACATAATGTATCTTTAATGGCTACCATTTAACATAACGTTAAACGCTGTTAAAGTATTGAATTGATAAACTGAAGTTTGGCATTCATTAGGTTGAGTCAGTCCTTAATGTACGAATCAAATGAAGTTCACATTAAAACTAACATTAAAATTTTAAAATATTTGTTCTTAAATTGCAGCATATTATAGATTTAAATGTCATGATAAAAAGATAAATAATTTCTTTTTCACTCTGGGAGATTGATATGAACCAACAAGCAATGATAAATTTTGTTAGTTTTTCTATTCCTATGTTGAAGTTACAAGCAATGATAAATATTTTTTTTCGAATGGTGGCATTATTTTTAACTAACAAGTAATAGAATCTGTATAGGTAAAATTTAAGCTTAGTGACATTTCAATTTGTTATAATTTTAATGGATGGTAATTGTCCTGTCCACCCAACCCTATAATTATCTTAAACTAACAAGGTTATATATCTGTAATGTCAGTAACTATTACATGTATTGAGTAGATCTATTTAAAGCATGTGGCCTGCGCAATATGGGTAAATCTATTTAAAGCATGTGGTCTGCGCAATACAAAATATAACTGCATATAGTCGGTTTAAACAAAATTTATTGCAAATGTACTGTCCAATTTAAAGGCATAAACAAGCCAAGTGGGGTTATATTAATTTACTGACTTGTGGGTAGAGTGTATAATCTATGTACAATTTCAAGTAATATAGTTAATGCTAGGTTCCCACTGTCATGCGATGCATTAAGGTAGGATTATGCCTATCGAGTCCACGATCTGGTACGTGCATATACTTTTGGATACCTTTAGATACGATCAAAATCATTGCTACGACTGACCACGATATATGATAAGACCTGACAGGCTCACGATTACTCCACAATTAACACCATGATTTCAATCGTAGCGGGAATCGTGATAGTGGGAACCTAGAATTAGGTAGAGACCATGGGTTCCATTTCGGCCGTATATGCCGGTCATGACTGTGTGCTATGGAAAACGACCAAAACCAAGAGGCTGATGTCCCCCGCTGAAATTGAGAAATAAATAGATGACACATATTAATTAATCGCACATCTATTTTTTCAAACGTATCGAGCAATCAAACTGATTATCAACTATACACTAAGTTTCATCACTCTCTATCAGATAGAATCAAAGTTACCTTGTCCAAAAGCATCGACCAAGGAAATTGCTTATCTCTGCTTAGCTTTAGCTCGATATGTTAATCATTGAACTCAGTCAAGACGAACATCTACATCAAGTTTAAACATTCTACCCCAAGTTGTGGAATGTTCCAAAGTCATGACTAATCAAAATGCTTATTCCTCCTTTGCCTAAGCAGACAATTCTCATCATCGAACTTAGTCAATGTATTGATGTAATGAAAGTATACACCAAGTTTCATCACTCTCACTTACTTGGAACTAAAGTTATCGTGTCCCAAAGCATCAACCAATCAAATTGCTTATCTCTACTTACCCTAAGCAGAAAATGCTCATCTTCACACTCCATCAAGGCATTGACCTAATAAACACCTACACCAAGTTTGAACATTTTAGCTCAATTAGAAGGAGAGTTATTGTGTTCCAAAGTCTCTGCTTACCCTGAGCAGAAAATGCTCATTATCGAACTTAGTCAAAGTATTGATGTAATGAAACTATACACCAAGTTTGATCACTCTCACTTAATTAGAACTAAAGTTATCGTGTCCCAAAGCATCAACCAATCAAATTGCTTATCTCTGCTTACCCTAACTTCATCAAGGCATTGACCTAATAAACACCTACACCAAGTTTGAACATTCTAGGTCAATCAGAAGGAGAGTTATTGAGTCCCAAAAAGTGCGGACAGACAGACAGAGAGACGGACGGACAAACCCATTTTAATAATCCCCTGCTTTCTTCGAAATGCGGGGGACAATAAGTATGTTAATACTAAAAATAACAGTTTAGTTGAACCTGACAAGATGTAGGGTATTAATCAACTAGTATCTGACATTTTGAACTTTGTTCTGGAAATCATGTATTATAAGTAAAACAGACTGTGTCTGACAAAGCTTGATTTTGTGTCCAATTTGTCTATGTAAGGTGACTTATTTCCAGGATTGGACAGTACCATATTCTAATGCCTACATGAGCCTGTAATAAACAAAGACTTACCAATATACTACTGAGCTTTTTATAATCAAATATTTTGGTTTCATAAAATTGAGCTAACTCTTTACATAAGGGTATTCCATATTCCCAGGCCTAAAATTACAAAAATAAAATACATGTAATTTTATGTAATATGATAAACAAACAAGAAATATAAACACTATACCCTATGGAGAGAGAGAGAGAGAGAGAGAGGCTTTAACGTCCATTCGAAACAAACTAGGACATTTCGGGATTAACACACGGTCCATTTTTTTTTTTAATAATTTGCTTGCGCATATGGGTCTTTAGCAGTGGGAGGAAACCAGAGGACCAGGAGAAAACCCATGAGGTTGCATGAGCAGACGACTCTACTCCTTGTCACGTACAACCAGGGAATCGAAACATCATACCCTATAATTCAATGCAAATAAAAGTTAAAGTTACGTATGTAAATGCAAAGAAGTGAGATATAAATATCATGATTTTTGAACTAGCCACTTGTTCCATACACTTGGTAATTAATCATCGTCTTATTTAGACAACTGGAGCCACGGTGGCTAAGTGGGTAAGACACTGACCCGCTAGCCTGGAGGTTGCATGTTCGATCCCTGCATTGGCCGAGAAAGTTCATCAGGATTTTCCGGCGTGGTTTCTCCTTGTCAGTGGTGCAGGATGGAGGGCCTAACAAGAACAGCTGTCTAGTTGTTCGAATGGAACGAAAAACTGAGGTTCCGTGTACGCATTGGGGTGCACGTAAAAGATCCCCTAGCAGAGTAGGCATAGTGTCGCTGCTCGGGCAAAATTTCCCCCATAGCACACTGTATGGCATATGCCCGTCTTCATTAGCCAAGTCAGAGCAGAACAGTAGGATGTTAAATACCATTTCATTTCATTACATTAGGCAACACTCTTCTAAAACGCTCTTCCACCAATTCCAGTACAAGCAACATGAAATTTGGATAGAATTCAAGAGACGTATTTTGCTGGCCTATTTATCTCGTCTACAAATGATGTTGAATCTTGTGAAATGTTCAATTATTGCAAATACTAAACGGATTGGAACCAATTTTGGGCTGATATTCTTTTTATCAATCAAGTTGACGCAGTTCCTCGTAGTGGACAAAAGAGATTCAAAATCCGTCAAATGATAATCAGCGGCTTTAATTTATGGTTGGAGAATAATTGTGTACCAACCTTTCCCTTATCGAAACAATCAATAATCTCCAGGTACAAGCTTTCTTTCTTGTCCCTTTCTTTTTGACTAGGATAACGCGATCCTTTAGCTGTGAATTCTTCATTTTTCCAACCAAGGATTTGTTGAGCATATAACTGTAAAGTTAATCCGGCTTCGACATAATTATTTGCTGCCAGATGAAGTTCGTAGAGTTTTGTGATGTATCGAATATACATCTCTTCTCTATTGATGTTGTCTTTATAAAAATTCTGTAAAACAATTAAAGATACATTATGGGAGATAAGATAACAAGATGGCAGTTCTCGCTATAATAGTTAAAAACTAGATAGTGTAAAGGTAATTTGCTGAAAATTTCAGTCAAATTGATCCACTATGAGCCGAGAAAGAAGCAGGTGAAATTTTGGCATAGTCTCGGTCATCATTACTAAAATCATTATTATAAACAGCTTAGTCTTGATTATCCACTTTTATTGATTTAATTATCAACGGCCATTAGCGGCATATAGGAATCTAATCCAGCCAACATCGAAGGCTTGCCTTGACATCGAGAGTTTATTATGGTCTGGATAAGTTAATTAATGTCTAATTGATAATTTAGATAACATTTCAGGCCTAAAGAAAGACTTGTAATAAGCAGATTTTGCTCTTGCATAATGCATGTTTAATTAATACATTTTTTCAAACAGAGTTTTCTTCAATAAGCAAAGAAAATTAAAACTGTACATCAAGAACAGAGATAAGTTTGACAAAGCATAAAGTTACATAAAAGTAAGCTCAATAGTGTACAGTAAACAGTTTTGATTAAGTGCAAAAAAAGAAAAGTGATTTTTGGCAAGGCAGTACCTAATTAGTTGATGCCTTTCCACAAAGTTCAATAGAGTTGTTTTTTATATATTTTTCTAAATCTCTGTAGGTAAAATTACTAAATAACTAAAACAGAATGTTAGTTTTTATTTATCTTTTATCTCTGTAGGTATAACTATTACGCTACCACAAAATGTTGGTTTTTATTTATTTTTATCTGTGTACCAGTAGGTTTAACTACTACAGCACAATAAAATAAAGAGATATAACAGCCTACACCTGTAATACGGCCTATAAAACAGCAGGTTAGGTAACACTCTAACAGTCAAATTACATTGTAATTACTGGAGATAAAGAGGTTAAAAAAACAGGCGAAAAAAATGTCAAAGTTTAGAGTGGAGCCATTAGAGATATGTATAAAAAGACTAGACAGGTGTAGGACATGGGATACTACCATTGTTTTATCTATGGTACAACTATTTATCAGTGGTAATCATCCAGAAAACAGAAGTTGCAGATCTGCTACTGGTTTCCAGACAACAAAACAGACTGAAACAACAATCCTGCCAACAATCTGGGCCAATAATCTAACTTGATTACTTCACCTTCTGCTAAATGTAGCAGTTTCGTGAATCAGGTTTTTATGTATACTTTATTTATACAGATAGAGTTTACATTAAGGATAATAATTTGATTAAAACAGAATACCCTAACTTAAAGATACATTATGGGAGATTAGATAAAGAGCTGGCAGTTCTCACTATGACAGTTAAAAACTAGATAATGTAAAGGGAATATACATAAAATGCAAATGAATTTTAGGCCTAGCGTCGATCATTATTACTAAATTTGGTACGATAAAAAACATTGTCTCGATTATCCATTTTTTGATTCAAATCATCAATGAGCGTTGAGCAGCAGATCAGATTCTAATCCAGCAAATATTGTAGGCTAGCGATGACACCAAGAGTTGATTATAGTCTTGTTTTGTTAATAAATGTCTAATTAATAGTTTATATAATGTTTCAGGCCTAAAGAAAGACATGCAATAGGCAGATTTAGCTCTTGCATAATGTATGTTTAGGTAATTGTTTCACATCAAATCATTTATAAAACAAACTGGTAGAGCCTATGTCTTTCAAATTTCACCCAAATAAACATAGGCCATATTAAATAAATCTTTAATTAATTTCAAAGTTATTTCTAGCAAAATGTCAGATTAAGATTCATTTAGACTCGAGGATTTTAAAGAAACCCAAAGATTACAAGTGATGATCGAAATTTGGACATAACAAGGAAACACTGAGAAGGAAAGACTGTGTACTGTTTAAATTTTGTTATTATAAAAAGATATTTTGAATAAAGTTGTTGTTCTATTTGAGAATAATTTATCATCTGTCAGACTGTATGTATAAATAATTTACCTACATCAGAGAATTTAAAGTCCGCTGATCGTTATTGGCATTTTACGGAACAATATTAAATGCAGGGATAGTGCCCTTATTCCCAATGGATCACTCTCCAAAACACCAGTCAAAGGTTTAAAGTTTTAATTGTATTTGATCGGGAATACTATATACCGGAAAACACCGGAAAACAACCGGAAAACACCATTTTATACTGAATACCGTAAAACACCGGAAAAACACTAAATACCGGAAAACACACTAAATACCGGAAAATACCCCAAATAGGTAACCCAGAGACTGGCACCCTAAATAGGTAACCGGGAGCCTGGTCCTCTGTGTGCCTGGGTTAGGGTTAGGGTTAGGGTATGGGTTAGTTTCCGGTTTATAGTATAGCCCTTCTCCGGGTTACCTATATAGGGTGGTTTCCGGTATTTAGTGTGTTTTCCGGTATTTAGTGTTTTTCCGGTGTTTTTCGGTGTTTTCCAATGTTTTCCGGTATATGGTATAGCCCGTATTTGATTGTTATTTTAGTTGCATATTCTGTATATATTTGTCTACTATTCACATATCTGTATCATTTGCTTGATAGAGACAAGAGCATCCTTGTCGAAATGTCGCTTAGTATTAAACTCATTAATTGTGTATCCATAAATTAGTATCTTGGATTACATGTATATCAAATTGATTATTTACCAGTTAATTAAGAAAACAAAACCAAAATATCAACAGTAGACCTCTTGGTTTCAATTCATTCAGATTAAAAAGAAGCCCAACAAACGATTTTAACACCCACTGACATGTTTGTATTGTTTGTAGAGGATGTCAAGTGTTATAAAATTTTCGATTCATTACATCTTTGTGAATATCATATGGGAATGAATCATTTTTGTACTGATATTCAACTTTCGCAAAACAGTGAACTGTCACATCCGACCCCTGAATACTCCGGCACTCTGTGAAATCCAACATCATTTTCATGTCCCGATTTATTTCCTTATTATTTCAGACAAATCCGTACTCTGTATATTTCGAATTACGTCACATGATTTCCATTGAATCAACACTGTATAATCCGGCCTTCAATCGGTGGGTGTGAAGCCACAAAAGATTAACAAGCAATCACCAATCAATTATCGGTGAGATTAAAACTCGCTGACATAGGTCTTTGTTGATTACTTTGATAATTTTATAATCTCTTGTAAGACAGTTGTGACAAATACTCAAGAATGCCCACAAATTTTCCCATGAATTCACAGTTGTAAAAATATTCCTAGCACCGGTTAGAAACATTCGTTGCGCACGCTGATTGAACCTGAATACCTAAGTTTGTTCACACTACGGATCTCTCCGAATTGTGTGACGACGACCTGGACATAGAATGACAGATTATCAATGAACACGTGACAGCAAAGACAATTGTGCAATCAACTGAAGACGATGAAGAAGATAAATTAACGACAAATATAAAGGAAATAACGTTATGGGGATTCGAAGCTACATTATAATAATACTTCCGGTTTTCGAAGTTACAATAATACTTCCGGTTTTGAGAAAACTGAGTATTCCGACACTCTACGTAATCCGACATATTGTAACGATCCCGTACGATGTCGGATTTGACAGAGTCCACTGTATTGTAGTTTGCAAAGGAGTAAAAATCTCTCAAGTGACAATCAGCGACATTAAGTAGTCAATGTCTGTGGAAAATCAGAAGAAATTTATAGCAATTACTCACAAGAATGTTGAAGGTGCAATGCATCCTTTTATCTCTGTGTTCTTCTCCATCGATAACTTCTCTGAAAAAAAAATATGAAATCATTTTTTAAAAATTAAATGCAAAGGTAACAATAGGAAACTCCTTGAATGAAAGGTGACACAAGGTGTTCTACAACTTATTGTATCATTCAGCACTAAAAGCTTACATGTAAGTCGCCAGCATGTGTATATATCAAACCATAAACCAAACAAGAACAACAATTGGTATTGTTGCTGGTTGAGTCGTCATGTATAATAATGGCAACCTTTGGATTAAAAACTCTATAACCTAATTAATTAAATCAAATACTATTACTCTGACATTAAGATAACATTGATTTGAATTAATATTCAAATTGATAAGTGGCATCATTAATAGGCATACTATTCGAAGACTAAACAAAATAACCTCTTATGCATAATACTCTCCATATACACCCCAAAACGTAATAGATCCATAAATTACACAAACACTAACTGACAAATTATCATTATAAATCAGTCAAAATACTGGTAAAAATGTGTTAATATGTGTAATGAGTCATAAATTATGCTAATTATATAAATAACCAACTAATTACTAACAGTTTTACTAATTGCTGCGGGTATTGGTATATTAAAGGCAATAAGCTCATCATGCCCAGACGAAACTCATAAATATTACATTCTTTACAAATCATAACAAAAAATATACTAATAACCTATAGCTGTTAAATTCATCTTTTTTATCTCCAACATATGGTTTTAGATATATTGTTATCTATGGTAATGCCAGTTTTATTTGCGTGGGAAATCAACCATTCTAAAAGGGTTCATTAACCATAGCTATATTCACTTATCTTGAAAAAACATCTGATTTTCAAACTTGGCTGTGATTGTAAAAGAGAGAAAGAGAAATAGGGTTTAACATCCACTCAACACAAACTAGGTCATTTCGGGACTAACATATGGTTTAATTTTTATTTCAATAATTTGCTTGTGCGTAGGGGTCTTTAGCAGTGGGAGGAAACCGGAGGACACAGAAAAACCCACTGAGGTTGGACAGGCGACCCTACTTTTTGTCATGTACAACTGGGGAATCGAAACCATGCCTGTTGACTCAATGACAGACCTTATGATGTAGCACGCACACACTAGCCATTCAGCCATCCAACCCCCCTTTGCTGTGACTGTAAGTAAGGATAGATTTAACTTTGTTCTGGTTGGTTTTAATCACAATATCGCAATCAAGAAACTGCCTTACCCCCAGCTGATATTTTGACAATAGTCAGAGCAATAGGTGCTTAGTTTTATCCCAACCTTGCCAATATGTTGATGTAATATGAGTTAACAAGATTTGTGTATTTACATTCCTCATGTGCAGCTAAGATAATATTGTGATTTAAGTTATTAAATCCTGGGTATCAAACGGTAATCTAACAGACATGATGTCCTCAACAACCTCTCTTCTGGTACACTTTCTTGCTTAGAACAACTACATGTAACAAACATTGCTACATTATCAAATCAGCCGAGTGCTTCTGCTACTCTTGGTGGCATTGAAAGAAAAATATGGTTTAATGTCAACTCCAAAACAACTAACCTATTTGGGGTCTACTAAAGTTATGTTATTTTATCCTAGTCGCTAGAGTGGGTAAATCAGTCGAGAGCTGGATGGGGGCAAAGGACAGCAGTAGTCACCAAGCATATGTAATGGGATGCAGATTTTCCTCTAGACTTCAGATTTACATTTCTGCTCAAAAATTATGTTTGTTATTCCACTTAATTGCTTTTTTTCTTTCTTTGTTATGTAATTTAGCAAAATAGGCAAAAATTCTGACTACCCACGTGGGGCATCAAAAGTGTCTTCATGAGTAGAGCAACATTTTAAACCAGGACTCTTAATAAATGTCCTGCAATTGTTTGTGTACTCAATTTATCTCACGCTTCCATTAAACGAGCTTTTTTACAAAGAATATTGATATTTTTAATACTATCTCAACTTCATAATCAATATTTAAATGCCCCTGGTAATATTAAACATACAGAGCTAAATCTGCCGATTACAGGTCTTCCTTTAGGCCTGAAATGTTATCTAAATTATTAATTAGACTTTAATTAAGTTATCCAGATCATGATTAACTCTTGATGCCATCACTAGCCTGAGGTATTTAGCGGATTGGAATACGTTTTTTTAAAAATAATTAAATGGATATCAAGACTTTGTTTTTAATCGTAAAGACTTTAGTAATGATGATCAAGGCTAGCCTCAAATTTAACAGTTAATACCTTTGTTCAGAGTGGAGCAATTTGACTGAAATTTTCAGCATATTCTATTTGCGTTATCTATTTTTAAACTATAATAGCGAGAGAGAGAGAGAGAGAGAGAAATGGGGTTTAACGTGCACTCGACACAAACTAGGTCATTTCGGGATTAACATATGGTTCAATTTTATTTCAATAATTCGCTTGCGTGTAGGGGTCTTTAGCAGTGGGAGGAAACCGGAGGACCCGGAGAAAACCCACAAGGTTGGACAGGCGACCTTACTCCTTGTCACGTACAATCGGGGAATCGAAACCCCACCAGTTGAATCAATGACAGACTGTATGATACAGTGCGCGCGTGCTAACCATTCGGCCCTCCACCCCCCCCCCCCCATAATAGCAAAAACTGTCAACTCTGTATCTAAAGCAGTAGACACATTAGCCGAATCATTCGGCCGAATCAATCGGCACCGAATTTTATTCGGCCGAATGGGTGGACACACTAGCCGAATGCTTCACCCGCTTTAACCTGTCGATTGCATCACCTTTCACGTCACATGATTAAACACGTGACTTCTCGATATGAGTGGTGATTGGCTAATGAATTCTATATTCGGCCGAATGCGGACACACCAGGCGAATATATCAAACCTGTTTGATTCGGGCGAATCATTCGGCCGAATATAAATTCGGCCGAATGACAGTGGACACACTAGGTGAATTTCGACGCCGATTGATTCGGTTAGTGTGTCCACCGCTTAATCTCATATAATGCCCCTTTAAAGAGACGAGAGCTCTACTGTTCTTAAATATATACACCCAATTCCCTCTCCCCACTTCATTTAACTTTGACAAGATATTTTGAATATAACAGTAGGTTAATCAATGTGTCAATCTCTATTAACGTCATCTAAATCTATTATACAACCAACAAAGACAGGATTTATTGATGAGGTAATATATGGGAACAATTAAATGATTCTTATCCATGGTTGCTAATATGGTTAACTTAGAAAAGGATTGTCGCTGTAACTCCAATTAACCTCTTTTCTTTATATGATTACATATAATATATAAACAGCTGATAGGATTTGAAGTAATTTGATTTCGAAGACACATTTCTTTACTTTAACGGCACCTCAAGCCAGACTATTCCCATCTTTTTAAAGTAAAGCCATGTACGACTTTAATGTAGTACCATAGTGTTGCTATATGTAATTGAGCACATCTGAGTACAGAAAGAGCTTCATGAAAAGTGGGCTGTCTTGTACGAAAAAGTACAATTATTATTACTATATGGGTGCAAGATAGATAAAGATGGTGGTGTGAAACCAATAGAAACCAATGTAAACTTAAAATGGCCATAATTTAAATTAGAATTGATTGATTTTGATAATTTTAGGACTAAAATCCATGAGAATAAAGGTACTCTTGATTGTGTATGTTGTTAAACCATAAAGAAACTGGCATGAAGTATCAATGTACTATATAAATTGTGAATTATTATCTTGATTGTGTAAATGTACTATATAAATTGTGAATTATTATTATTTAACTTATAAGTACGGTCGCCTGTTCAACCCTGTAGGTTTTCATCAGGGTCCTCTGGTTTCCTCCCACTGTTAAAGACAACTACGCGCAAACGAATGATTGAAATAAAATTGAACTATACGCTAGTCCCAAAATGACCTAGTTTATGTTGAGTGGACGTTAAACCCCATTTCTCTCTCTCTCTCTCTTCAAGCTAATGAAAAGATTAATATAATCTGACTCTCCTATACTGTATGTATTTGTTACATTTTTTATCTACTGATTTAATCTGTCATCTTATTCTTGTTACAAAAAAACCTTAAAAGAAGACACAAAGAAATCTCTCCTGTGTCAATCCCTAATAATCATCAGATTTTATATGATTTAACAAATTAGACTACTTTCCTAATGTGTTGTCATTATTTATATCCCCTAATACACTGATTTAGACTCTACAAATCTTTGTAAAATTAGATAAGCGTGAATTTAAATCAAAGATTACTTAATGATTAGTCTTTATACAAACATTGAGAAAGAACTTCCTTTGGCACTTTTGAGACAGTGCCATAGGTGATGCCACAAAAATTTGATTTATGCAGAGAAAGATGGTTAGTTAAGTGTGGTGCTGTCTTTGGTAATTGAAGATGATATTGCTGTATGACCTTATGTTAAGTTTTTTAATCTACATGGAAGACAGCTGTTCCGAATGTCTTGAAAACTCAGAGTAGAAACCAACTTCCTGTTCTAAACGACAGTCAGATTTTAATCCAAGAATAAAATAATAAATTTTAACTGGCATATTACACGTGCCCACCTGGTATTCATTTCAGCAACATATTTCACGAGATAAACCGGAAAATTAACTTATCTTAGAAAACGCTAATATTGTTTTCCTTTTAAAAATGCCATGATCAGTTTGTACTTCAAATTTTCACAAGAACTCAAAGAGGATATCAAAGATGATCATAAACCACCAAGTGCTTGAACATGATAAATATATAAAATACATTCAACAAAGTATGATCTTCTTTGAGAAGCACTCAATGTTTTGATATTAAGATGAAGATTCTTAAAACTAGGAAACCAAAATAAACCCTTTATCAGCAATATATTTTCTAAACTTCCTACTTTTTGTATGAGTATAATATATTCTCTCTCTATGATAAAGCAAGAACAATCATTTCATATTCTTGAACTCAATATCTTTAATCTTTGTATTCTAAAATCTAAACAAAAATAAATTCAACAGATTTAAAAAACCTTCAAG